CCTAAAAAAAATAAATCATGCAAAATTCATAATTTAGCCTTGATTATCATACTAAATATCACTTCACTGTTTTCTGCTATTGAAGCTCGGTCTTTTGGGGAATCAGAGATGGAGTGCACAAACAAAAAAATAAATAAATAAATAAATAAAAACAATGGGGAATGGAGAGACACTCACACACAGACAGAGAACGACGAGACGGGAGACTGAAGAGCACAGTTGGACAAAAAGAAATGGCTTTGGAAGGGGATCAAGTGTAAAAAAATAAAATAAAATAAATAAAAGGTGTGTAGGTGAAAAGAGTGGGTGAGACTAAAAACAAAGAAGGGAGAGATGAATGTTAAGCAGGGTTCCAGAGAGGAATAGATTAAAAGGATGCAATGCATGGATGAATACAGGAAGGATTGAAATTAGTGTTTTGGCTTCTTTACCCTGTTAAACAGGCGGCTGACCAGTTTAGGTGTTATCACATCTCCCTCGCAGGCTCTGTATTGACTGACTCTGGGGGAGAGAGGGAGGGGATGTAGGGGGACTGTGAAGTGATAATTGGCGATATGCTTACCTGGCGCGGAGCCTGCAACCTCCAGCAGGGCACAAAAACAAACACACACACTCGCACACACACACATTCTCTGCTATTGTTCTGTGCCACGACAAGCTTTACCTCAAACCGCCCACCCTCAACAAACACATCCACACATAAGAAAACACACACTCACGGGTAGCTTGGCATAAGAGTAAAACCAATCCTGAAGTCTCTCCTATGGAATACTAATACGATTGCCCTTGCCAGCTGACCTCTTATAGGCCAAACAGGCTGTCTGTCAAACTAATGGGGCGGAACGCTGGCATATTGCTTTCCCACAATCCCTCAGCAGAGCCGGGACACTCATTTACTTCAGTCAGCTTGTTGCCAAGGCAACATTTAGGATGGTTCTGGTGGTGGATGGACGCACAAACACGCACGCTGCCTCTCCTACGATTCTGTATAGGCACCTGTGTATATGTGCAAACTTGAACTCACAAACAAATGCAGCGCAACCTGTTAAGTGTTACTACCGTGAACTCTTGCGCACACAGACACGCACGCACACACACGCATATATGAGTGTTGCTAACAGCAGTGAAACAGATGAATTTATGTATGCGGCTGACAGCACTGTCTGCATGCGGAAGGTACACTAAGTGCTCTTTGTCTCTAGTCTCATCTCCATGCTCCAAAACTCTCTCCCTTCATTCACAATACATGCTCTCCTGTTCATTTGTTCTGAAAGCCAAGCAGACAAGCCTATTCTTCTCCGCCTGTATTTTTCTCCCCATCCAGACAAGGAGAAAGCAAAAAAAAAAAAACCCAAAAAGGGCTGCAGACACACAAGGACGAGAGCCGAGAGACTTCCAGTACCGGGTTTCAAACTCCATCGTTGTTCTTGAGGATTGATTACAGATGTCATCTCATGCAATTTCAGCCTGAATTTTTTAGCTGTACAACATTTTCTTTCGTGTTTCCCCATCGAAATGAAAAAATGCAAGTGGATGAAATTTTAATTGGGACTGTGCTCATCTATTGTGCACTGTCTTAAAACCTAAACCAATCATAAGCCGGCAGTGTCTTTGTGGCTGGCTCACATCCTGTGCAATCTGTCCCTACAGACCCAGAGCAGGATCTCTGACAGCAACTGTCTGTGTGTCTGTAACTGTGTCTCTGTTTGATCAGTAACTTGTTATTATGAAACCGGAACATCACAGCAAGTGAGGGTTTTGAATGTATGATCACATGATTTGGTTTGACAAGTGCTTAAAGCCGAATTCCAGATCTCAATTTCTATCTTAATATTTTGCTCATAGACGATTTTTACTTGAAAAGTGTTTTTTTGCTGGCTTCTGTGATTGCTCTGCATGTAACAGGAAAATTACCAACCAGGCAACCTGCGTCTGGGTTCACAAACTTCGTTTCAGGGGTTTGCTTCTTGTGATACCAATTTTCTTTACTGCTTATTGTAATAGCAGTGTGGTGGGTGACCAAGGGGCAATCTCCAGAGCTGAAAAAGGAAGCCAGTGTGCCATGCAATACAAGTTGTTCTGAATGCTAAAATATATAGAAGAGTGCTATATAATTTTAAAGCTATATAATCTTGTCACTACATCACGGCTCGTCTCTCCTACATCACCTAAATCCCCTTTTAAGGTAATTTATTGTGTTGCATGCCCACTGTGTCGTCGTCACAGCTTGGTCACCATTCATACTGGCACTCAATGTTTCCTGGACTTGCGGCAGTCTCCTCCTGAACGACAGATGTCCCCACTCAAAAAAAATCTTCTGCATCATCACTGATACAGAAGTGGAAAAAATTATAACAGGAAGCAAAGTGATACAGTGATTAAAGTCACTTTCAGTATTTGTCGCTGTTCAAAAGGGCCACAATGGTGCGCATAAAGGTGTACAGTCCAGTCGGGAAACTTCACAGGTGTGCAGTTGAAATCAGAGTGAAGGCAGAATGCTCATAGATAAGGAAATAAATTCCCCCATGGAATGAAAATGCTCTGAAAATATAGTATCAAAGCTATAAAATTACTGTTGAGTGACAACACTGTTCACGAACTGCTGACTTATGTGTTAAACTGCACTTAAACCCCCATGGCTACCCTGCTAAATGAATAAGGAAACTGTAGTTTTCATCCTTAAAGATTGTTTACAATGTCTTGAAATGCAGAAAACAGCTGCACGCTGTATCAGTGAAAGCTGATACTTCTTGGAGGCCACATGCCAGTGAAAAAACACTTTAGCGTGCCATTCATCCCAAAGGTACGCACTGACATATGGTGACCTAGAAGAAGAATCTGTGTTGGCTCTAACAATTTTAACGGCATCCATTCAGAGATTAAACTGATATATGTTCATGTCTACATGAATAAATGTTTATACAAAAATAATGGTAACTGTCTGGCTGACTAAACCTCTATCATCTTGGCTTTCTGTTCCATTTAGAAAATCAATCAAAGCAGTGAAATGTTGAAATAGCAGATAAGCTCAGGAATAAATGAGCAACAGCAGCCAGTGGACATAAAAAAAAGGTTAATTTCCTGCCCTTGAGTTTGTTGTTGATGCACTGCATCAGCTCAGCACTCCTCCAGATTGAAGTGCGAAAAACAATGTCGACAGGTGTGCGTTTGATCTAACTGAATGACATTTACCCAGGTACCCTTGAGACTGAGAGGTAAAGAACCGTAAAGACCTTTTGTTGCCTCACCTTTGATGGAAAAAACAACTCACTAAAGCTGAATGAATGAATGCATGGTTACTCAGTGCAGAGTGTGATCCTGGCAAATGTAGATGTATAGTAAATGATTTTTGTGTGTGTGTTTTTTCCCCACTTGGCCCCTTTGCTTGCATCTGTCGATCCCAAGTGGCCGTCATCGCTCTCGTCTTTCTCGTCTTCTTTCTCTAAGCATCGTTTCCCTCCCTCTCTCTTGTTTGTTCCATTCTTCCTCTTGTCACTACCCTTACCTATCTCTAATTAACACCTACTCCAGGCTCTATCTGCCTTAGCAAACCCCAAAGGACAGAGCTGAAAAGGGAGATGGAGACAGAAAAATACATACAATAAGAAATGAGGGAAATCAACTGAGCAAGGGGGGGGGGAATGGTGCAGAGTGGCACAGAAAGAGAGAATAGACAGATTCAGATGGTGGCTCTTAATGTTGGCTCGTTCAGCTGGTCGGTGGAAATGTTTACAATGAAAACAGCTGCTGTGGTTAAATTTAACTGAATAAAAACATTAACTAAACCACAGTGATCAACATAAACATGCTTTACATGGGCACTAATGCACCCAGTGTGACGCATTCACATGTTCGAGGGCTCTCTAGAAACCATCTGTCTTTGTAAAGCCATCAGAGACCTCAGGACAACATCAAACGACGCTGTAGATCTCGAGGTGCTTGACTGCATGTGTGTGTGTGTGTGTGGCAACAGGAAGAGTGTGGCATCCATTTTTGTGGCTTGAGCCTCAGCTGGTGTTTATCAGTTAAGGTGGAGCCCGTGTGTGTGTGTGTGTCGTGTGTGTGTCGTGTATGTGTGCATATGGACACTCAGGACTTCAGTAGATCATTTCAGGCAAGCAGATGCACGGTTGTAAGCTGACATACGAATGCACATACACGCGAATATACAGACATGCAGGTGCACCACTTGATACTTCACCACAGAGACTGCAAAGAAAAAGGCTGCATGCAGACTAACATACAAATAGGAAGGTTAAAAACGGCAGTGTGAGCGAGCCGGGCTGAAAGGCTAAAGCTGTTTGGCCAAATGAAGACAAAGAAAACGACCACAGGCAAATGCACCAGCACCCAAATTTGCAACCATTAACAAACACACACACAGACACACACACACACACACACACACACAAGTTGAGTAAGGTGCGTGTGCACATGTTTTAGTGAATCTGGCTACTGCATTAGCAATACAGATTTATTGCAAGTATCGATTACTCACGGACGTCAAACATCACACACCCGCAGCAAAGCACTGAGTCAACAATACACTGAAAAATGTTTATTTCCACAGCACTCCACACCCATAAATTACGAACTATTGACTTCACACCTGCAAACACGTGAAAAGCACAGACACACACACAGACATAGGCACACACCCTCACGAGCTGCATGCAAAAGCACCTTGAACACCTGCCACAACAAAGAGCTACCTGCTACCTTACACAAAGAAAAATATAGACAGACACCACACATGGGGCATAAAACACTCGCAAACACGTACACCAACACACACGCACGCACGCTCGCTCGCTCTTTTTGGCTCGTAAATTGCACTGCATCATCTGATTAAAAGAAGTGCGACAATTTTAAATTATTTGGTGTCCACAGACGACCATTTGCACCACAAAGCCATGCCATTAATAACAGCTGAGGCCTGCACGTATCTTGGCAGGCACACAAACATAGACGACCAAAGGATCAGACAGGTGGTAACTTACCTCCACCTCCACCGAGCAGAGTGTTGTTGGCTAAAAGAGAGACAAGAAAAAAGAAATGATTGTGAATACAACTGAAGCGTAATTAATAAGGCTTAAACTGTCACAGCAAGCAATAATTAAAAAGTCGGAGGACACAAAACTAATTAAATTAAGCAAAAATGTCTGTAGTGTATATATGGCGAGAATGTCTTTTCAATTTATGGCTATGTATTTAGCCAGATAAACAGCTAAGTATTACACTTAGCTATTAGATTTCTACTTTAAACTGCAAATAATATTTGAGGGTTGGACTGAAATAAGAACAAGAAGATGTCTTTTCATTTTTTGGACCATACCAACCTGTGATTGCTATTTGTTAAACTGAATAAATACCTGAACAGATCAATAACAAAAATACCCATGAGTTGCAGCCCTCATCACATCTAATATAAAATGTTACACAGGTCTCTGATGAATAGTGCAATCACGTTCTCATTACATCCAGGTGATATAAAACTCCAATTACTACAATGAGCAGATTTCATTTTTTCCCATTATGATTATTCAGTTATTTTAATTGTAAACCGATTACCCCTAAATGTCAAACTGAAGCCCAAACAAACAATACATTTGATGGCACCTCATCCAACAGGAAGTAGTTTTAACACTTGCTTTCTCTGCCTTACCTCTGCATAACTTTTCACTATGATTTAAAACACCTCATTTTGGTTTTAGAACATATTCTGTGCACAGTAGTACATTTCATGGAGACATTTCCTACTTTAGTGTCCAACTGGTCCTAATGAAAATGTACATTCACTACGCACTTCATTAGGAACAACTGATCAACTGCTCATTAATATAAATAGCTAATTAGCCAATCACATGGCAGAAAAATCAGTGCATTTAGGGCATGTAGATATGGTCAAGATAACCTTTTGAAGTTCAAACTGAGCATCAGAATAGGGAAAGAAGATGCAGTAGAGCATCTATTAACATCAAACCTTGAAACAGATGAGCTACAATAGCCACTTACAGTGGCTTGCAAAAGTATTCAGCCCCCTTGAACTTTCCCACATTTTGTCACATTACAGCCACAAACATGAATCAATTTTATTGGAATTCCACGTGAAAAAACCAACACAAAGTGGTGTACACGTGAGAAGTGGAACGAAAATCATACATGATTCCGAACATTTTTTACAAATAAATAACTGAAAAGTGGGATGTGCCAAGAACAGGAAAACGGAGAGCACAGTTTGCATAGGCTCACCAAAGCTGGTCAAGAGAAGACTGAAAAAATGTTGCCTGATCTGATGAGTCAATATTTCTGCGCCAACATTCATATGGTAAGGTCAGAATTTGGTGTAAACATCGTCAAAGCACACCAGCAGTCCTGCCTTAAATCAACGGTTCAGGTTGGTAGTAGGACTGTAATGGTGTGGGGGGAATTTTCATGTTTTGGGCCCCTTTTTACCATGTTCATTCCTTTACCACACATCATCTGATGGTTACTTCCAGAAGATAACACACTATGTCACAAATCTCATATCACCAGATCTCAATTCAATAGAGCTTTCATTTGTGGTACAATGGGAGATTTGTATTATGAATGTGCAGCTAACAAATCTGAAGCAAGTGTGTAGTGCTGTGCATCTTTTTGGATCTATGTCATGACAAATAGGGGCGGAACATATCATACAGTTCACGGTAATACCGGTATAATGTTGGGCAACGATAAGAAAATGAAATATCGCAATAGATTATGGGTAAAACGCGCAGTGCCTTTGTTTTCATACACACATGGCGGAAAAAGCATGGCAGCGACGGAGAATGAGAAGGGAGAAAGCGGATTGTTAAATGAAACGGATGAACCAGAATTGGTTTGTAAAAATGCTGCAGCTTCAGTGGTGTGGAACTGGTTTAGCTTTCGTCCGTCAGATACACAACAAAGCACTATTTTTGGTAGAGCATGCTAGTGGGCCGTCGTTATTACCGTGTTTTTGGAAAATACGGCACACTTAAAATCAATCCTGTGATTTTTCTGAAAATCAACAGTGCCCCTTATAATCCCGTGTGCCTTATGTATGAATTCTGGTTGTGTTTACTGACCTCGAAACGATTTTATGTACACTGTGCTGGAAAATCTGTCAAATGTTTTAGTACGACTTTGCTAAGCTACGAACCTGCACCACTTGATGGATTGTCGGAGCATTACGGCTGTCGTAGGCAGGAGCCTCGCAGAGTGATACGTACTGTGCTTCAACAGAATATTACTGGATTGTGTGTGTATAACCTCTTTTTAAGTTTTGTGGATATTATACATGGTTATGCTGAGGATATGTCAGCCAGTTTCCACTGGAAATGCTTTTTGGTTAAACTGTCAGCAAGGATTTTGCATTTGCACTGTTAAATTTTTATATAACTTTAATGCACATAAAAAACAGCTGCTTGTTTAAGTGAAAATACATTGATTGGTTTTTTTTGCACTAATAAAGTTGTGGAGTTGTAAAGTATTTTGTCTAGTGTCAATTATATCGTCAGTTATATCGTTATTGCAAATTTTCAAATGTATATCGTGATAAATATTTTTGGTCATATCGCCCTGCTCTAATGACGAATAAAGGCAGGTCTGAAGGAAAAACAAGGTTCAAGCCAGTTCTAGCAACTTGTATCTAATAAAGAGGGTGATGACTGTATATTAATGCAGGAGAGCTTTTTCTTCAATAATCCTGCCTAAATGCTGTTTGTTTCAAGAGGTGCAACTGATACTTTAAAGGCAAACTGTCTCCATTTCCTGCTTGTGGACCACTGGTTCAGTTTTCATTCTACAAGTTTGGAAATGGAAGAACCGGATATTTCAGTGCATTGAAGTGTACAGCACATCTTCATTCAAAGTGACAGTAAGACAGAGCTCATATAATATCCATTTTCATTAGTACAATAATGACAATGCTATTAAGAAATGAAGAAATACCCTTTAAAGTAACACTGGAAACTTCAAAAACTGCAAATGAGTTACAGTTTGTGCATAAGTCTAACACCAAGTTGATACTACAACCAAAAACGTTACAAAATAACACAAGCATGACTAGCTACATTGCTAACGTGTTGCACAAGTGCTTTGCTGACATTATAAACAGGCTTCTGTGTGCAAACAAGAGTCTTTGATCGGTTTATGCTTCACCTCATGATTGGTGATCTGAACAACCTCACAGTCATCACAGTGAGTATCAAGCTTCAGTTGAATTCATTCATTCAGCTACTTGTTCAACAGTAATTCTAATTTTAATTCCTAGTTCTATATTTAAATGAATCTTCATTTAGGTGAAGATAGAAAAATAAGGG